CCCAACCATGACCCTACACTGACCCCAGCCATGACCCTGCACTGACCCCAACCATGACCTTACACTGACCCCAACCATGACCCTACACTGACCCCAACCATGACCCGACACTGACCCCAGCCATGACCCTACACTGACCCCAACCATGACCCTACACTGACCCCAACCATGACCCTACACTGACCCCAGCCATGACCCTACACTGACCCCAGCCATGACCCTACACTGACCCCAACCATGACCCTACACTGACCCCAACCATGACCCTACACTGACCCCAACCATGACACTACACTGACCCCAACCATGACCCTACACTGACCCCATCCATGACCCTACACTGACCCCAGCCATGACCCTACACTGACCCCAACCATGACCCTACACTGACCCCAGCCATGACCCTACACTGACCCCAGCCATGACCCTACACTGACCCCAACCATGACCCTACACTGACCCCAAACATGACCCTAAACTGACCCCAACCATGACCCTACACTGACCCTAACCATGACCCTACACTGACCCCAACCATAACCCTACACTGACTCCAACCATGACCCTATACTGACCCCAACCATGACCCTACACTGACCCCAACCATGACCCTACACTGACCCCAGCCATGACCCTGCACTGACCCCAACCATGACCTTACACTGACCCCAACCATGACCCTACACTGACCCCAACCATGACCCTACACTGACCCCAGCCATGACCCTACACTGACCCCAACCATGACCCTACACTGACCCCAACCATGACCCTACACTGACCCCAGCCATGACCCTACACTGACCCCAGCCATGACCCTACACTGACCCCAACCATGACCCTACACTGACCCCAACCATGACCCTACACTGACCCCAACTCTGACCCTGGCACTGGCCCCTCGCACTGACCCGAGCATTCCAACTGATCCTACCCATAAACGAACATTAGCTTTGACCCTTACCCTGATCGTAATAGTACAGCACTATCTCCGTACCTAGCACTGATCATTACCTAACAGTGGACCTTAACACTAGTCCTTAAGCTAAGACTGACACGAACCATGACTCTCACCGGGTTCAATTGGAACTCACTCAATCACGTCACCGCTCACTCACTCACCCACACACCCACTGACCAACTCACTCACTCATCCACCCACTCATTCACCCATTCTCTCACTCACCCACCCACCCATTCACTTCCTCACCCACACACTAAATCAAACGGAGACCGATTCAGCCACTCACTCGCTCACTCACCTACCCACTAACTCACTCATTCACCAACTTACCCACCCACTAACTCACTCATTCACCCACTCACCCACCCACTAACTCACTCATTCATCCACCCACTAACTCACTCATTCACCCACCCACTCACTCACTCATTCACCCACCCACTCACCCACCCACTAACTCACTCATTCACCCACTCACCCATCCACTAACTCACTCATTCACCCACCCACTCACCCACCCACTAACTCACTCACTCATTCACCCACTCACCCACCCACTAACTCACTCATTCACCCACCCACTCACCCACCCACTAACTCACTCATTCACCCACTCACCCACCCACGAACTCACTCATTCACCCACTCACCCACCCACTAACTCACTCATTCACCCACCCACTCACCCACCCACTAACTCACTCATTCACCCACTCACCCACCCACTAACTCACTCATTCACCCACCCACTCACCCACCCACTAACTCACTCATTCGCCCACTCACCCACCCACTAACTCACTCATTCACCCACCCACTCACCCACCCACTAACTCACTCATTCACCCACCCACTCACCCACCCACTAACTCACTCATTCACCCACCCACTCACCCACCCACTAACTCACTCATTCACCCACCCACTCACTCATTCACCCACCCACCCACTCACCCATCCACTAACTCACTCATTCACCCACTCACCCATCCACTAACTCACTCATTCACCCACCCACTCACCCACCCACTAACTCACTCATTCATCCACCCACTCACTCACTCATTCACCCACCCACCCACTCACCCACCCACTAACTCACTCATTCACCCACCCACTAACTCACTCATCACCCACCCACTCACCCACCCACTAACTCACTCATTCACCCACCCACTCACCCACCCACTAACTCACTCATTCACCCACCCACTCACCTACTCATTCACCCACCCACCCACTCACCCACCCACTCACCCACCCACTAACTCACTCATTCATCCACCTACTCACTCACTCATTCACCCACCCACCCACTCACCCACCCACTAACTCACTCATTCACCCACTCACCCACCCACTAACTCACTCATTCACCCACCCACTCACCCACCCACTAACTCACTCATTCACCCACTCACCCATCCACTAACTCACTCATTCACCCACCCACTCACCCACCCACTAACTCACTCATTCATCCACCCACTCACTCACTCATTCACCCACCCACCCACTCACCCACCCACTAACTCACTCATTCACCCACTCACCCACCCACTAACTCACTCATTCACCCACCCACTCACCCACCCACTAACTCACTCATTCACCCACCCACTCACCCACCCACTAACTCACTCACTCATTCACCCACTCACCCACCCACTAACTCACTCATTCACCCACCCACTCACCCACCCACTAACTCACTCATTCACCCACTCACCCACCCACTAACTCACTCATTCACCCACCCACTCACCCACCCACTAACTCACTCATTCACCCACTCACCCACCCACTAACTCACTCATTCACCCACCCACTCACCCACCCACTAACTCACTCATTCAACCACTCACCCACCCACTAACTCACTTATTCACCCACCCACTCACCCACCCACTAACTCACTCATTCACCCACCCACTCACCCACCCACTAACTCACTCATTCACCCACCCACTCACCCACCCACTAACTCACTCATTCACCCACCCACTCACTCATTCACCCACCCACCCACTCACCCACCCACTAACTCACTCATTCACCCACTCACCCACCCACTAACTCACTCATTCACCCACCCACTCACCCACCCACTAACTCACTCATTCATCCACCCACTCACTCACTCATTCACCCACCCACCCACTCACCCACCCACTAACTCACTCATTCACCCACCCACTAACTCACTCATTCACCCACCCACTCACCCACCCACTAACTCACTCATTCACCCACCCACTCACCCACCCACTAACTCACTCATTCACCCACCCACTCACCTACTCATTCACCCACCCACCCACTCACCCACCCACTAACTCACTCATTCACCCACTCACTCATCCACTAACTCACTCATTCACCCACGCACTCACCCACCCACTAACTCACTCATTCATCCACCCACTCACTCACTCATTCACCCACCCACCCACTCACCCACCCACTAACTCACTCATTCACCCACTCACCCACCCACTAACTCACTCATTCACCCACCCACTCACCCACCCACTAACTCACTCATTCACCCACCCACTCACCCACCCACTAACTCACTCACTCATTCACCCACTCACCCACCCACTAACTCACTCATTCACCCACCCACTCACCCACCCACTAACTCACTCATTCACCCACTCACCCACCCACTAACTCACTCATTCACCCACCCACTCACCCACCCACTAACTCACTCATTCACCCACTCACCCACCCACTAACTCACTCATTCACCCACCCACTCACCCACCCACTAACTCACTCATTCAACCACTCACCCACCCACTAACTCACTCATTCACCCACCCACTCACCCACCCACTAACTCACTCATTCACCCACCCACTCACCCACCCACTAACTCACTCATTCACCCACCCACTCACCCACCCACTAACTCACTCATTCACCCACCCACTCACTCATTCACCCACCCACCCACTCACCCACCCACTAACTCACTCATTCACCCACTCACCCATCCACTAACTCACTCATTCACCCACCCACTCACCCACCCACTAACTCACTCATTCATCCACCTACTCACTCACTCATTCACCCACCCACCCACTCACCCACCCACTAACTCACTCATTCACCCACCCACTAACTCACTCATTCACCCACCCACTCACCCACCCACTAACTCACTCATTCACCCACCCACTCACCCACCCACTAACTCACTCATTCACCCACTCACTTACTCATTCACCCACCCACCCACTCACCCACCCACTAACTCACTCATTCACCCACTCACCCATCCACTAACTCACTCATTCACCCACGCACTCACCCACCCACTAACTCACTCATTCATCCACCCACTCACTCACTCATTCACCCACCCACCCACTCACCCACCCACTAACTCACTCATTCACCCACCCACTCACTCACTCATTCACCCACCCACCCACTCACCCTCCCACTAACTCACTCATTCACCCACTCACCCATCCACTAACTCACTCATTCACCCACCCACTCATCCACCCACTAACTCACTCATTCACCCACCCACTTACCCACCCACTAACTCACTCATTCACCCACTCACTCACCCACCCACTAACTCACCCACCCACTAACTCATTCATTCATCCAGGTCACGCTGGCAAATGAGGCGACTGTCCCGTGATTTGTCTGGTTCAACAAAATCGACTTGAAACCTGAACCTTTAAATCCCTCTTGGGGGCGTGGCGGTAGGGGGCGTGGGGGGAGGGCGCGGGGTTGGGCAGTCTGTGGGGGACTGGGAAGGGGGCGGGGCTGGGCAGTGGGTGGCTGTGAAGGGGGCGGGGCTAGGCAATCGGGGGGAGGGGCTAATAAGTGGGCGGAGCAGGGCAATGGGGGGAGAGGGCGGGGTTGGGCAGTCTGGGGGGACTGGGAAGGGGGCGGGGCTGGGCAGTGGGGGGCTGTGAAGGGGACGGGGCTGGGCAGTCGGGGGGAGGGGCTGGAAAGGGGGCGGGCCCGAGCAGTGGCTTCCCTGCAGTCCCGCCTTCCTCGTGGCCACGTGACTACGTGACCACGAGGGAGTTCGGGGGCGTTGCCAACATGACGTCATTGGGACCCGGACTTCCTGCTCTGGGTAAGTAGTCGCACCACGTGGGGCGTGCAGCACGTGGGCCGGATGGACGCAGCGGCGTGCGCTGTACATATTTTAAGTTATTTTTTAAAAATATTCTGGTCGCAATGAACCTTCTAAGCTGAGTTCAAACCTTGGCGACGTGCCAACCAACGTGGGTGGTGGCGCGTGAATATCAGAACCGATGACCCTGGCGTCTCCCCGCCCCCTACCCCCACTTTGTTTGCCAACCGTAACGGGTTTGACAGGGACAGTCCCACTCGTTGAGGCTGGGGGGCATCTTGCCCGGCCGCCTTCTGGGCACATTTGCGTCCACATGACGTGGTGGTGGGGGCACTTTGTTGAGCTGTCATTTGTGGTGGACAGGGCGCTTCAGAAAAATAAGTTTATACCTCAAGTGAGCTTTTGCCTGGTAGGGTAGGGATGGGTTCGTGTTTGGGTGATTTGTTTACGTTGTACTGTTGTAACGGTCTTGCTGCGTGGCTCGACTGGACATCTGTGAAAAAGAGCTTCACAGATCATCGGATTCCTCCCGCAGTTACGAATACAGATTCTGATTAAATGTCCCAGGTTTTTTTGTGTGTGTAAAAATGTCTCCCCCCTCTTAATGAATCTGCGAGAGAGAGAGAGAGAGATATACAGTATATCCCTTCGCCCTTTGAACACACACAAGTCGCGGTGGTGTTTTTCCTCGTCTTGTAGCTCAAGAAGTGGCAAAAACCCGACACGGTAATCCTCTGGGGCGAAGAAGCTCCGAGCCCTCGCAGACAGCGTCGGTGAAGTGACGGCCTCACGATAACCCCTGTGGGCGGGGGCGTTTATCCAGCAGTGGATTGACAAGAAGAGGGCAGATGATGGTTGGCTCTACCCTCCGATGGGTCTAATCTCGCCTGCACTCGCAAGCTCAGCGGGGGACATTTGTGGCCTGGCGAGCACTGGGCTGAGTCACCAAGCCAAGGCCGTAGCCATGGAGTCAACATTGTGGGGGGGGGGGAGCAAATCTTCCAGGGGGTCTGGGGGTCCCAACCCAGAAAAATATCTACATTTGAAAACGAATTTCTTGCCTGAAATATTTAAAAATTCACGAACACATGGGATGGACTTTTTATGTATTTATTTACAACAATGTCTAATAGTGTATATTGTATTACATTCCTCTTTTTACCTTTTTACCATTTATTGTTTCATTGTATGCAATGACAGAGATTAGGGATTAATAAAGTACAACCACAATCATATAAACAGAAATCTATGCATTGATTTATATGAAGACAAGTCCAGATGTTGTGGCCAAGGTTTATCAAATTGTTTTTTTAATCTACATAGCATAGCAATTATTGTTTTATAGCAATATTTATTTGGGGGGGGGGCATTTTGAGCATATTTGAATATGCAATGTGTTGAATCGGACCTGGACCTTGTGTTTGTTCAAGATTTTGGAGATCTTTTTTGTGATCCCCGCAATGTAGGGTAAAGTGATGGTTTTGAAAGCTCCTCAAGAGAGTCCTTCATGGTTGGAGTGATAGCTTTGCGGATTGTGTAGTCGGAATAACCATTAGCCTTAAGAGCTTGGTGTACGTGCTTGAGTTTTGTCTACAGGAAAGCTACCCATACGGATGCTTACCTGAAACTGGATTCCCACCACCATCCATCCCAGAAGAATTCCCTCATCAAGACTCTGCACCATAGAGCCCAATGCATATCCGACCAGGAACACATTGCCAGTGAACTCAAGCACGTACACCAAGCTCTTAAGGCTAATGGTTATTCCGACTACACAATCCGCAAATATATCACTCCAACCATGAAGAAGGACTCTCTTGAGGAGCCTTTCAAAACCATCACTTTACCCTACATTGCGGGGATCACAAAAAAGATCTCCAAAATCTTGAATAAGCAGAAGATCCAGGTCCGATTCAACACATTACATAAAATCCATGATCTGGTTCCGTCTGTAAAAGATGTGATTCCTGACATACAGTACCCTGGTGTCTACAAACTAAGTTGCCTCTGTGGTAGTAGTTACATTGGTGAAACCAAACAACATGTCTCGGACCGCATTCGTGAACACAAAGCAGACCTGAAACACGGTAGGACCAATACCTCGGCCGTGACAGATCACTGTAATAATTCAGTAGGTTCACATGACATTGACTTCTCCAAGACAGAGGTTCTTTGCAAGCCATCTGGCTACCATGAGAGATTCGTTCATGAGGCTATCCACATATACAAACACAGAGACAATTTCAACCGAGAAGATGGATTCTGGCTTAGCAATCATTGGAAGGATTTGATAAACCATTTCGGGTCTTAATTGATTGATCACGCTTGAGGTGGCTTTCAGACAGCATCCATTATTTTTCGTCTCCCCCCTCCGCTTTTCCGAACATAGATGGACTCGTCCATCTGAACAAACTGTCAAATCTCTCTCCGTGGTGCTAACGTTAAAAATAACCGCCACTTTCAAATTTTCTTGTGTTTTTCACGCCTGATGATGATTGCTGGTGTTGCAGTCGAAACGTCGTGAGAATTTTATTGTTTTATATTTTTATTATGTTTTTGTTTCCCTTCTACGTGACTTTACCGAAATAACCAAGAATATAAAAATAAAAATATTTTATAAAATAAAATATTTTATTAAATATTTTGTTTTATTTTAAAATATTTTATTATGTTTTATTTTTATTATTTTATTGTTTCCCTTCTACGTGACTTTACCGAAAAATAACCAAGAAGATGAATCCCTGCAGTCACGAAAGCTTTACATCGAAATTTTAACTTCCGTTTATTCGGGAGCCCTGGGTCTCGCCATGAGGTTCATCGAGTTTATTTCTCGCTGCAGTTTATCGCTGCAGTTTATCACGTAGAATGGAAATAAAATAATAAAAATAAAACATAACGAAATATTCTTATCATGTTTTATTTGAATATAAAATATTTTATTACTTTTTTTTATTTTCATTATTTTATTTCCCTTCTACGTGAATTTACCGAAAGAACCGAGAAGTGGAAGTTAAAATCTTAATTTATTTTTTTGGCGGCTCCGTCCCACCGCTCACAATAAACGCCGTGAGCCGCCTGGCGCCGATCGTTCTGTTGTGAAGTCGTCCAAGCAGCAGCAGCAGCAGCAGCAGCAGCCACAGCGAGGGCGGACGCGGCAGGAGAAAGAAAACTGCGAAACTTTGATGAGCGCTTCGTGTAGAGCACGACGAGAGGAAACGGATCGCCGCGGCGTTCGCCGCCTTCGACAGACATCAAATGACGTCGCGACGCAGTTCATGCGGGAGCCGGGGGCCTCAGGGACCCCAGAGTCCCCGACACAAGGCTCGCGTGTTGAATCCATTTGGTGGACTGCCGCACGACGCTCCCACGTCTGCGCCGACCGGCGTGGTGAAGTATGGTCAAATGTTTCCCCCACGACGAGAACGGCTTTGTCGGGTTGGGGGGGGAGGGGTGAGGGGGCGCTCATCCAGCAGTGGATTTGACAACTCCGCGTCTGTCCTTGGAGACTCCATACAGCACAAACTTTGCGACGCGTCTCTTAGAGAACGCCGCCGTCTTCAAAGGAAAGCAGCGGCAGCAAAATTAGGTGACGATGATGTGCTGTGAAGAAGGGTCATTTACCGAAACGTCGCCTATTACATATGTTGTTCCCTTTTAAGGCCACGTGCACTTTGACATCTAAATTGAAGACTAATTCATTTAGTACTCACTTTTTGTGTGTGCTTAGTTTGTGGTCCTTACCCCGCCGCACATCCGATTAGCATGGTTGGCTACGTAGGGTACGAAAGAAGTTCAACACACACGCTGTTGCTATCCAAACTATTGCTACATTAAAAAAAAATATTTTATCATGTAAGGCTCCAGTGAGCTGTGTAGCACCTTTTCAGAAGCGACCTGGCCACAAATGATAGCCCAACGAAGTGGCTTATCGTGTGGAAATGCAAGGCAGCCAAATTACTCGGAAGCGCTTGTTTCTAAATGTGGAGGGGAAAACCCGGAGACAGTTGCCCGCGACCACGGGGAGAGAGCAAGAGAGAGAGAGACACTGCAAACTCCAAATATACAGCAGCAGCAGGCGTCAGGGTGGGAATTGAACCCACGACCTCCTGTGTACCAGGCGAGGTAGTTAACATCTCCTAGGCCACCGTGATGATGATGATGAGAGACAGACGAAAACTCCAAATATACAGCAGCAGGCGTCGTCAGGGTGGGGATTTAACCCACGACCTCCTGCATACCAGGCGAGGGAGTTAACATCTCCTGACCACCGTGGCATCCAATGGTGGTGAGCGGTGATGCCGAATTGTGCGCATCACTGCCAACGCTGCTGCATCACCACCGCCACCACCAACCACCAAATATAAGGGTTGAACATAGAGTTGTAGCCTCGCAGAGAACCCGCGTCAGACCCGCACAGATCTTAATCTATGCTCGCGGCCTTGCAAAAATTACAAGGGGCCAACTTTAACCCGTCTCAATAAAAGTTGCGTTAATCATTTGAAACGTCACGTGGTGCGCGTGGCGTTTTGTAAACCTTGCGGCGGGAGGGGGGGGGGTCCATGGTTCCCGGGCTTGGTGTCAGGTAAGCAACGTGGCCCTTTATTGGACCAGATGACGGTCCTTGGAGATCACCCCCCCCCCAACCCCCCTTTGTGATTTGTAATTGGTAAACTATGTTTGATATTTTTCACGCAGAGACCGAATCGTGCTGATTAACACGAATATACCGTAACAGATGTGCAACCCGTAAGGCGTGTTAAATAAATAAATAAGAGTGTTAATGTTCGCGTTTGTGTTTTGCTGAAAATTAAGTTTGCGGAATTCCACCCTGCAATCTCCTGTAACTGATGTCACTACTCACGGCCTTGCGCTGATGCCTCTTGAGTCTCTGTGTAACTCTATGGCTCTCTGTGTCACTCTGTGAGTCTCTTTGTCACTCTATGGCTCTCTGTGTCACTCTGTGAGTCTCTGTGTAACTCTATGGCTCTCTGTGTCACTCT